TTGGTGAAGGTTCAGAGAGATTCGTTGAGTGACAAAGAGTGAAGGCGTGACCAGATGCCGTCATGGTTTGACGAGCACTGGCACGCCCCCGATTAATACTATACTTTGCAACACGTTTTCAACACGTTTCTACCCATCCACGCTCCGCCATGAGCCACCCGCTTTGAGCTCCAACCACAAAGAATCGAGCCACCCGAATTATCGATCAGGGCACACCTTGCGCCGCCATCGGCAGTCCGCGCCCTGTCCAGGCTTGTTAGCAGTGCACAACCACCCAAGGGAAGGGTACACCTTACACTACCATCGGCAACCTGCCCCCTGTCCGACTTGTAAACAACGCGCAACCTCCAAGAAAGGTAGAAGACTATACCTTACACCTTACACAAACTGGCCGTCGTTGCGTTGCGAGGATTACCCAACTTGGCAAGGTGGGGAGGTTGCAACTCGTGCCAAAATAATCTCGATTCAGGTTGGCAAAAGTGCCCCTACAACCTGGTCTGTTGGCCACCCGTGTGCTACAGTGGTCGAAGGGTTTCTACCGGCGCAATAATGTGTGTGTTCATTCGGTGTAGCTGATGATGACTGTATCGTGGTATGAAATGCGTGCGTACTGGTACGTACGTGTGCGTACGTGTGTACTACAACTAACTGTCAGTGGACCGGACATCAAGCAATCACAGAATGAAAGATGCATGTTCGCCGAAGTTCCCGACTAAATACTCAGGGGGCAGCGTTTGCATTCCATATTTATTCAAGAGCGTTCTTTTAGGTTGTTTTTGTACCTCCGCCCGTGAGGGAAGGGAGATAGAGCTCGCACGAGACCCAAACACGCACACACCCTCCGACCCTCCTTCCGAAACGGACTCCCTGCTTCCATCACTCGAACAGCTACGTTTTGGATGTACGCATACATATGGACGACCGCCATGCAATCCAGCATGGCTTCCACTTGGGAGGCGGTTCCGCCCGTCCTCGTCCTGGGTGGGATAAGTTGGTAGACGACAGCAACAGCAGTATTAATATATAGTAGTCTAGTACGGGCCGAAACATGCTGTTATTTTTGATACCTCCAATATCACATCAAAAGCTTTTGTTGACGTTGATGTGTTGTTGTGCTGTTGTTGTTGTGTTCTTGTTGCTGTCGTGGTTGTTGTTGTTGTTGTTGTTGTTGTTGACTTCACATTAAACCGTATGCCAGTTGCTAATTGCCAAAATCTAGCAAAGACTCTCGGCCCGTGGTCACGAAAGTGCTAGAGCCATCTGAGGATCTAAAGAACACGCACACGTAGAAAGAAAAAGGTATAGACCTAGTCTAGTCTACAAGAAGAGCCCGAAGAGGTACTACTACACCTATATATAATCCCTGCAGCACCGTACGCGTGCCCAAAACTGAACTACACGTCCGTCTCACCGTTCGACTACAGCAACATCACCCCCTACCTGTCCCACTCTGTACCAAAACGAATGATTGCCGACTACAGCATACTTGCTGTCTGAAGTGCTGTCTGTACAAAAACACCATGGTAGGCATGGAACAAGAAGCTGGCGGGGCACAAAGCTGCTGTCTGAAGTGCTGTCAGAATGTGTCTGCGGACGTACAGTGAAAAAGAACAACCAACCAAAGCCATGATTGCAATGGACAATCACCCGAACCTCTCCCGATCGTCTGTGTTAGGCACGCAGTGAAAATATCGACAATAGCTAAGAATCGTTCCACATTGAAGGGGTCTTCCACGATCAGGCACATAACCAATGCACCCGGTTAAGCCACGCCATCTCAGACGGATCTCTCTACAAAACCAGTGACGACGTCATCACATAGAACCAACACCGAAAATCAGGAAAAAAACGAGAAAAATTGACAACACAGATCAGATATAAATGTTGGTCCGTGCGCCACGGGTCGATGTCGCCCGCATGCTCCGGTGCCGCTGCTCCGTCCGGCGCCGCTGTAGTCAGCCCGAGCATAACGCCACTCGACCTGCTCCGTCCGTACACGCTCTCGTTGCTGTCCTTCCCAGTCGGTTCCTCGCTTTCTCCCTCGTTGCACTCAAGGTTCTTGGTCTGAAAAATAAAAATTCTCGCGCCGAAGGGGTCAACCAGCCCAGTTCAGCTCGTCGCCACCTGCTCCCTCCTCCTTTGATGGCGAAGCCAGGTTACTGAGGCAATGCAGCGCCCTCTAGCCAACCTAGGGCCGTGTACATAGTTCCCGTCCACCTTCTGACGGTGTCTGCCTCCGCGCACAAAAAATGAGATGGGCATCGCTGCCTACGCCGACGGCCAGAGGCCCGCGCATCTACATTTTTTCGCCTGACCCCATCAGTGCCGACCCAACTACACCACCACGCGCATGCCTCGCGGCGGATATGCGCAGCAGCAAGAAGGTTTCGGTCATCCCTTGAGGGTGAGTCTAGCCCTGCTCGCCAGAAAGACTCCCTCCTTCACTACAACCCATGTCTAAGCAAAAGCTTGTTGTCGAGGAGCGAGGGGAAGCAGGGTGGGTCGTGGTGGTGGTTGTCAATACAGTCGACCCCGCTTTATAGACACACACACCGCGTTTTTGTTTTTTGGAGTGTCTTTAACGCGGGGAAGTGTCTTTAGGATTCCGGGGCCACTAACTCACCGTCCCCGGGGTCAATGGAGGTGTAACATGTGTCAAAATACGCGCATTTGAAGCAGGAATGCGACCACGAAATTGTGCTGCTTAAAAACTGCGACAACACGTCAATTGAAGGCCGCAACACTCCTGCTGCTGTACTCCAATCAATACTGTACACATTTTTGAATTTCCCTCCACCACCGAAACGCGGGAAGGAGTACAGCACGACCTATTGTAATGTGTACGGCAGTGTGCGCTGGTGTTGTTGTAGGCTTTTTTTCTTATTGTCAAGGCGTTGTCCTCACGGTGAACATCATGCCCGTGATATCGCGAACACACCTGAGACACATCATCATCAGTTTGTTGGAACTAGCTCTGATACGATACACGCAAGTTACCTGCCACATAGGGACCAAACAAACCCAGTCGACCCCTTAGAGGGATCTGAGGGACCCTAGGAAACGGTCGGTAGCGCAGACCACAACATACAAAAATCGGGCAAACCCACCGAAAAGAGAACACCGCTCTTCCCCAAAGGTCAACACGAGGCAAAAACACAAAACAAAAATGCCAAAATTTAACTCCACGAGAAAGGCAAAAAAATCCCAAACATTAATGAATGTGGGCTGCCAAGTGTGTTGTCCTCAAACACCAAAAACTACGTCGCCCACACATCCCGAAGAGTCGCCTGCACCTCACCCCCCTCCTTCGTTCTTCGCTTGACTTGAGTTTCATGAGTGAACGAATGCACAGTCTTCGAAAGAAGGTACACCGTTTCGCTGTACTCGCCGTCTCTTCCGTTCGCGTACAAATAGGAGCGGACATCCTCGAGACGAGAGCGAACCTCGGCCTCTGAAATCGTAGATGTCATGCACGACTCTTGCCTACCGTCCTGGTCTTCCTCTTCACTGGACACGTCGTCTTCGACGTGTACTCTTGACATGTTCTCCGTTACCTCTTCCATCTCGAGTTCTACCTCTTCCCTCAAGACCTCTTCATCGTCCTCTACACTAAGCCACGTGCTCACTGCGCTCCGCACTTCTTGTTCAGTGAGGCCGGAGGTGCTCTCGACGAACAAGTTGTCCGACAACACTCGCGGCATGGACCTAGCGTCCAAGTCCTTGGCACTCTCCGGCAAGGACATCTTCTTGACCACTTCCATGGGACTGCTGCTGCTGCCAGCCTGGTCTCCACCTTTGCTCTTCTGGCAATCCGAGCACTCTCTGCTGTCCGTAGCCTTCCTCTCCGATGCCCCGACCACAAAACGCGTGCATGGATCGCCCGCACGGGCACTGGTGAACCGCTGACACGAGTTGAGACTTTTGCTGGCACGTGGGTTCGCCACATGGCCTCAAGCCGGCAGCTGACGACCCGCCAGCAGATGGGAGGAATCTCTCCATACCCACACGCAGTAGTGCGGGCTGCAGCAGACCGCTGTCGATGTTACAATGCCTTACAGCATGACAGATTTGCTGCCCCAGAGCAAAATTTTTTGGGGGGGCCGCATAGTGGAAACGATACCCCCCTATATTATTGTACATCTGCGGGGCACCATGTTCTGGGGAAAAATTGTGTCTTTTATAGCGGGGAGTTTCCTTAAGAAGAGTGTCTTCAAAGCGGGGACGACTGTACGTTGATTGCCGCTTGTTCCGGCATCTACATACACTATAGTTCCAACGGCGTTGCATTTGCTTGTGCAAGGAAGGTTGGTCCTTCGGCTGGTCCTTCGACTCAAAAAGTAAGGGACTAGACTAGGCTCAACCCGATTTTGACGGTTCTTATCCCCGGGCCCTTACTGGAAGCCACATCTACCTGGGGACTGCAGTAAGTAGAGGGCCCCCTCAGTAGTGCCGCTAAAGACAAGTTCACCGGCATACTTTTCACAAGAGGGACCGGCACTATTCAGAACAGGGATAGACTGTACCAGTAGGTTTTGAGTACAGGAATGGACACTCGTGCCCTGAGAGGTTCCACCGATACCGGGCATAGGCACCATTCAACCGGCACCACTGAGGGACCTGCCTGAATGTAGATCGCTCATGTAGCAGCGTCTCGATTCCTTATACAGAAGCAGGTAGGCTACCATCTGTCAAGGGAGGTTTTGCGATATGCCGATACTAACGGTGCTTTGCATCGATTCTCCTACAACTCTTGGAAAGCTCTCGCTCTTCCCCCCCTAGTATCGCAGTTACATATCGTGAGCAAGCATAAATGTATTTACTGCTGAGAAAGAAGCATGTCTCGGAACTTTTCGCCCCCTTGAATACATACCATCCATTCGTATCAGCATCAAGCAAGTTGGATCGAATCACACTTTGGAAATTGCCGTCTATTATAGTACCCGTCATGGGAGACACATACATATCAACCGAACACACACAACCAACAGAGACATATTCGAAAAATTACTCAAGACCGGACCGACAAGGGGCACGAACAACAAACTGCTGTTGCTGTTAGAAACCATAAATAATATCCCGAAGGGCCTGAAGGGAAGCATGACACAGGCACAGCGACGCGCTACAACACGACACCAGACAGTCTACAACGTAACTTTTACCCTCGACAAGAAGCACACGAAACAGCGGGACAGCACAAGGCGGTGGGAACGGATTCGAAGTCTCTCCGCTCCAAAACACACAAAGTCCATACGCACAAATATAAAAAATAAGCAGAACAACACGCAAGCTCTCCTTGCGTGGCGTACTGCTGTAGGCGTCAAAGTTCTCGCTCCCGTACACAATGCTATCATAACGCGGTGGCGGTGCCACAACGCTTCCTTTCTACAAAACCTCATCACTGAGGGCGACCGCGACCATGTACACCCACCATCACACGCACAAAACTGAAGCCAGGATAATGTTATCTTAGCACTGCCAAACCACGAAAGATCAGAAGCCTTGTAGAGTGCATAAGTACCTGCGCAACGAGTAGGGGCACGCTGCTGCAGGTTTGGCCACGAATAACAAACATGCCGCCAGGCAACCCAAGCACGGCGGGCGACCCCAAAAGCGGGAAGAAGCTGAGCGAGATTCCGGTCGATCGGTGTTCCTTGTTTATCGAAGAAAATTGGCTCGCGCGGGACACAGACGTAAATCCTGGTCTCCGTTGGAAGCGACGCGCTGCAAAGCTCGTTGTTAGTAAACTTGATCGACTTCACAAGTCGCGAGGGAAGGAATTGCTGTACCCTTCTCGCGATAAAAATATCTCAGGCAGGAACCGCAGGAGGGGGTCCAACCCCCCCCTCCTGTGTGACCCCGGTTGGGTTGTCTAGCTGGTGGAAGTGGAGGATAGGGGCCAGACGGGCAGACGACAGAATCCAATGATGGGAGAAAAACAAAAAAGGCAATTTACACAACAGATCTATATAACCACCATACACCTTGCGTGCTTGGGTGCACTTGCTACCTTTCAGGCGGCAACCACGCAACACTCCCCCCTGGTACATTCAGACAAGACAAGATCGCCAACATGCATACTCCTGTACTTTACGTTGCCGGTTTAGACGAACAGTAAGGGAACCGATGGATGGAAACATCGCAGGGTCAGGAGGCCGTACACCGCCAAGACTCGCGTGCATCAACAACAGAAACAAAACTAAACATTTTTCTACACTTGCGCAGACGGCACCGCTTGCAACACGCGACGATACTCCTGGCCTACTTTCGAGTCCAAAACACGCACACGCCCAAGAGCAAACCCTCCAACACCGCCATCAAATTGGTCAAATACTACGCACTCGCGGGTGGGACCCAGATCACCCGAATCCTTCTAACCTTCCAACGACACCAAGAAAAATCTTTATTTCCCCATTCAAATCTGCGGAGACAACAGCCTTCACCATTCCCTCCCCTCCAGGGAACGCCCCACAACTTTGTCCCGGGGCAATTGGAGTCGCTTCAGGACTCCCCACGTGTTGTTGGGCAGCGATCTCGCTGCCTAGCGCCATCGATGCCTCAGCCGCATTCACGGTCCCTGGCGAACCGTTTTTGTTTATCCAAGGTTCTGATACGTGAGGTCGCATTGCCGCGCTCTCCGCCTTGCCGGCGCCGGTCGTCGCCTGCAGTACGGGTCGACACAACGAAACGGCGTGGATGATGTAAGCTTCTGCGCCGGGGTACATTGTGGTGGTAAAAAAAAATCACCGAGGGTGATACTATGCGGGGGGGGGTGATATCTTGTGTAGCCCGGGTGATAAATTGCAGCCGTGTGGGAGACATGAAGGGGGGCTGATAACTAGGGTGTGTGATACCCCTGCCACACACATGGGTGTGATGACAAAGGGGTGCGATACCCCGAGGGGGTGATGACCAGGGGGTGTGATAACTAGGGGTGTGATATTCAGGGGTGTGCTATTCTGCATCAGCACCTTCGCGTGCTGCTGAGTCGCTCTCAGCAGCAGGCTGCTGAGCCAGTGCGGTGGCTGCCACATTGGCGCTTACTGCTGTTCCAGCGTTGTCTGCCGCAGCAGCAACAGCAGCGACAGCAGCAACAGGGAGGAGACGAAGGTGTCGAACCTGTCTCGAGTTTACGGAAGAAGCAGGTGATGCGTCGAGCCGCTGCTGCTGCGGTCGAAACAGCTGCCGAGCAGCAGAGGTAGCAGCAGCGTGATTCTGCTCTCCCTGCACGTCGATGTCATTGGAGGTTTCCATCCGAGTCGGTTCGGTTCCCCCGCACTCGGAGGGTGTGCTGGGTGTATTCCCTGTTGAGCCATCATGTGTGTGGTCAGTGACCTGCTTGGTCATCACCGGGGTGAAAGCAGTGGGGGCTCCGTGATTCGGCTGCGGTCTAACCTGAGGGGGTGTGATATCTTGTGTGACCCGGGTGCTATTTCGGATCCTCGTTCGAGATCCAAAATTTTGGCACCGTGTGGTATTCTGCGGGGGGGGGGGGGGGGGACTCATAGTCGTGCATGCCGTAGTCGTTAGACCATTGACCTCGCATCCCTACAAAGCCGGGACGGAGCACGCCGGGTTCTCACCG